CTCTCTTCGTCATTTCAGTTTTCCGTAAAGCGTTTAGCGTGCTGACAAAAAATTTTTCGAGAGCCTCTCCCAACTTCTGGGCTCGTCGAAAAGTGATACCTGTTTGTGGCTCAACTGGAATTTCCATAGCATAGCGCAGTGGGAAGAAGCAAAAATATTCGAATCCACCGGCAGAAAACCGCCTTCTCTACGGTTCTTTCATCTGTTTCGATGGTAAATTGGGTATTAACATATGCCAGCGAGTCCACACCACCGACCATTTCCTTTTAAGCACCGGAAGACAGCTGTTTTAGCACCGGAAGACAGCTGTTTTGCTGCTGACACCTGTTACCATTCCACTACTTCTCGAGTGCCTCCTCGCTAACACAGAGGAAGAATCAACGTTTGGCACTGGATCGATACCCTTCTGCGAGAATTTACAACAAAGAATTGTGTTCAGCCGAGTCTGATGTCATTTGACAGATAAAACGGATGATTACTGAATGGTACTTACGCAGTACTGAAGAAACGAGAACAGTGCAAATGCGTGGGGGAAGAAATTACCTGGGTGACTGTATGGAATTATTTAAATGACAGAGACATAAAACAGAGGAGAATCGAAAAACTGCTAAGTGTATTAACGGCGAGAAAGAAAATGTAAACAACAGCTGAACAAGTATTAAACTAAGTACAATATTTCATTTAGCACAATTGTTCCAGCATAAAATGTAAAGGGTGCGAATATTTTTCCGTCTTATTGGCGGTGAGAAATTCACTGAAAATGAAAAAATGCAAGAATCTTTCCCAGTTTAACAATGATTCTACGGCCCTTCAGTCTTATTTTTTCTAAATTTGTGCAAGACTGAAATACTTCATCATTACTGGTCCGTGCAGAACAGAAAATGGTACCTGATAAGAACTGTTCAGCCTGAACTCCGTATCTGGCGACATATTGAGCGGTATTATTCACAATCGGCATAACATCAGGTGGTGGTGGTATGACGGTCGGATTATCATTCTTTGGTGCCTCACCGTAAAAACTCACGTACCATTCATAATAATCACTTTTACTGGGCGGCTCATCCTTTGTTTTTACAGCATCCCTGCAGCAATAATTCAAGATTGTATGGAAAGAAGCCAATCACCTGGCATATTTTTCACCGAGCTGAGTAAAAGGACGTAAACGAAATCTGGTAAGAAGGGATTTTTTCGATTTTAGGTTCACAGCAGTCATTGTAATTCTGTCAAACTGAACAAAATTAGGTTATAATATCTGTTAGTCATTTTGGCTTCAGTTCCCATAACAGCAAATTGTAGCGAATATCAAAAATACAATTCAACTTACTCATCTTTTTCTTCAACAGCTTGCACTACCGGCTTCGCTTGTGACACAAATACGTCCGACAGGCTTTTATACAAAGAAGAATAGACGTCATTAGCCTGCAACAGTCCACAGAGTTACATTTTAAATCACAGCCTCTTAGAACAAAAATTAATTTTATAAATAGCACACAAACGATATTTCCTATTAAAAA